CACTCACTGTCTCTCTCTCTCTCTCTCTCTCTCTCTCTCTCTCTCCCTCTCTCTCTCTCTCTCTCTCTCTCTCTCTCTCTCTCTCTCTCTCTGTCACTTCACCTTTTTGTCCTGTCGGATGGTTTGTCACCTCGTTTGTAACCTCGACTGTGCTCGGGTGCCACAGGAAGCTATTCGCCGTCGCTGCCGTACATCCTGATGGGCATCCAAATCACCATGGCGTCGTTGCTTAGTCTTCTGCTGCCTGAAAGCTACAGAATGCCTTTACTGGAAACCCCTGCAGACATGCAGCCCTTCCGCGGGTGAGCAGTCGCCAGGAAACCGGCCTCGCCACCGCCATCATGTCAGGCCAAGGCCAACCTTTATGCTCTCGAGCCACAATTGAGTTGTTTTGAAGCAACAGATGGGCCAGGCCGTGTGTAATTTTGAAAAAAATACATTAAAAAAAACTGAAATGGTTGACATTTTTTAAGTACTGGTAAAACTATTTTTTAATGTAATTCCTTTTTTTAATAACCAATAATTGAAAGCTCATTAATGAACTAACTTTTTAACAAAGTATATATTTTAAAAAAAGGATCAAATATACCGGGTATGTAAAATCATTTACAGTATATTTCAAATCTTGTTTCATTTTTCTACACAACAGAAATCAATAAACCAATATAATGAGATGAATGACTAAAAATTAATGAATACATTTCAAAACAGAAAAAAAGTTAAAATGTTTACATTGTTTTACTTAATTAAACAATTTTAATTGGGAAAAAAAAGGTCAAATTAATTAATGCAACAAATATGACAAGAAATCAGTGTGCCAGATTTAAAGACGGAGCCCAAGTCCACTTTGCCCACATCTGGTCAATGCCGATTTATTTTTTTATTTTTAATTGTGTCATTCTCTCTTTCTCTTCTAGGTGCTGCCGAAAGAATGTCTACCAACACGCACGCACCAAAGAAGAGACCCAAAGCAAGTGCATGGATGTCCAGTGAATGTGGAAAACACTCCCAAAAGAAATCATTCCAATTATTGATGATGAGCGGACTCGTGATTCGGTTCGCATTTTACCACCTGATTTAAACGTGTCTTTACACCTTTTATTCATTGAGGAATCCTGAAATAAAACGTGCAAAATGTCGCTCAGTGCAAAATATATGCATACCATCTGTGTGGGGGACGATACAAAATGTCAGAGTCAAACAGAGAGGTTTGGAACCCCTTCCCCGTTTATTTTTTTCAGTGGTTAAAATACAGCGGTGGTCCAAGTCTGCATCAAAAGCGATACACATGTAATGTGTTGTTACAGACCCTCTTCCTTCTGTGCTTTTATTTTGGAGAGTCCACTTCCGGGGGCCTTCTGTCTCTCTTCCCTTTCATTATCAGGCTGAGCCGAGGGTGCTCCCACACCTGCGGCTGATCAGTCATACCTGCGTTTCAGAGTTCTGCTGAGAGTTCTGCAAGCGGGTGCCTGATGATTCATGCGTTGTGAGTGGTATCTTGTCCATTTCTAGTCCAGGTGCTTGCCGTTTTTCTACTTTCTGCGTACTCAATTGTTGTTGTTCGTCTTTTTCCAGTGTCTACCTCTCTGCCCAGCCTGGCTTCGTGTTTTCCTTCATGGACCACTTGACCCTGCACCTATCGGCACTTCCACTTCAATTTTCCGTCCTTGTAGGAAATCTTGAACCCACCTGTAAAGTTCACCTCTGACCCCTCATTTATAAAATGTATTTTTAAATAAAAGGAATTATCTCCTAGAGCAGGTGTAGGGAACCTATGGCTCTGCGAGCCATACATGGCTCTTTTGATGATTGCATCTGGCTCACAGATAAAACAAAATATTCTGGCTTGTTTAATCCATCCATCGATTATTTTTACTGCTCATTTCCTGTTCAGGGCTGTAGTTGGCTCGAGGAGCAATTTTGATTGGATAATACTGGCTACGTTGGCCGTTGTTGCGGAAACGGGTGAACGCCCCCTTTTTGAATCAACCCGCTCGGCCATTAGCTCAAAGCTAATCCTAAACGAATAAAATGGCGAAAAGAAAAAAAAATGACGAGTATGGTCGACTTAAGGACGAATGGACCGAAGGATTCGCCTTTGTGGAGAGAACAGGTTGATTTGCAATGACAAAATACCATCGATGAAACGGTCCGATGGAAAAGCGGCACTTGGGCACGAGCTATCAAGTCAAGTGAAACTTTGTCAAATGCTACGTGCGCATCAAAATACCCTGCGAGAGACAGCAGAAGGGAAGCGTGCAAGCAACTGACCACGGTGCCAGCGAGACAGCAGAAACTCCGCGTATGGACCCGCAAAATGACTATAATTCCGCTAGCTTTGCTGGATTTTTAGCAACAATGAGGAACGGAAAACCATTCACATTAATGGTGAATATTATCACTATATATATATATTTATGTGTGGCTCTCACTGAAATACATTTCCAAATATTTTGCTTTTATGGGTCTCTTAGTCAAAAAGGTTCCCGACCCGTCCTAGAGGCAGTGGAAGAATATTTGGGAAAACAAAATTTTAAATTCAGTACATGTCACTTGGATGGGTTACCGCGTATTCATGCAACCGATAAGAAACATGCTCAGATCGGCACCTTTCAATACAATAAAGAACAGGAAAGCGTGAGATTAAAAAAAAACAAGGCATGCCAAAAATGGGGGTGGGTGGGGATGGCCCTGTTGCTTCCGCTGCCTCTCCTTCCCCCGCGACACCTGAAGGGGGTTTTAAAGTGCGAGCCAAGATACATTCGTGGTATGTGGACTTTAAACCTGTTGGCTGTGACAATAAAAATCAGTCCCCTCATCTGTTCTGAACGAAGGAGGCAGAGGCGGATCTTTCAGGTGGGTCGTCAGGGATAGGTAACTAGTCCAGGCCCGTTCACAATTCTTGCAACAGTTTAAAGTGCCATGATTGTTATCTCGCCATTATTGTACACATCTTCAGCTCTGCCTTTGGATAATTACCCACCAGCCCCCACCCCTTCCCGAAGATGTGGGACTATGATGACAGCGTGGCCTTCCTGGGAACATGGGGTCGCTTCCAGCTCTTGGTTTTTTTTCTGCTCTGCTCCACTGCCTTGCCAAATGGTACGGGCTCCTTCTCGCTGGTCTTCGTAACGGACACGCCCCAGCACCGATGCCGGATCCCTGAAGCCAACCTCAGCCAGGAGTGGCGGCAGGCAGCGATCCCACTGGAGGTACACCACTGTGCATTGTCATCTCTCAGCATTAAAGAAACTAAAGGGGGGAAAAAAAGGATGTAGTCCGCCAGAAGTCAGCTGGGATCGGCTCCAGCAGCCCCTGTTTTTTTTCCCGCACCCCCCTGTGATCTCCCCCCCCCCCCCCCCATTTGCATTTCAGGATTCAAAATCTCTTATATGACTCCTCCTGATCTCACAGTATTTTTCCAGATGTTGTTTCGAAGAGAAAAATGTCCATTATCCATTTTTCACAAGTCAAATTGCATGTGTGAATGCTCACCCCTCGGTACTCACAAAAAAAAAAAAAAAAAATGTCTTGTGGTCTTTATGTGTGTATCTCTCGAGGTAGTGGACGGGGAGCTGCAGGCAAGCCGCTGTCGCCGCTACAGGTTGGACGTGCTCCGCAACCTCTCAGCCGGCGGGCTGCTGCCGGGCCGCGACGTCAACGTGAGTAGTCTGGAGCAGGAGGACTGTGCAGACGGCTGGGTCTACAGCACCGAGGTCTACCACTCCACTGTGGTCTCTCAGGTCAGTTTTTCATCCAGAAGGCCCCCCCCTCGTCAAAATCTACTTGAAATATGAAAGGATCAAAACTATCTTTTTCCAGCTTTTGTAGTTCATCATCTCACATTTCTGGGTTCCTGCTTTCCACAAACCAATGTTGCATACAAAGTGGTACACGTGGAAATGGAAAAAAAATGTTAATACGTTACAAAATCATGTACAGATTAAACAAGGTTTTAGGATTTTTTTTTTTTTTTAAAGGCCATATCGCCATGTTCTACATTCCACCATCAAAGTGACGGGGGTGCGGGAAGTTCCTGATGACTTGAAGAAGTTGACAAAAGTGACACTGTCAATCATGCACTTCCAGTTCGACTTGGTGTGCACTCAGCGTTGGAAGCAACCCTTGACTGCCACCATTTTTTTCTTGGGGGTCCTGGTGGGATCCTTTTTCTCCGGAGTGCTTGCTGACAGGTACCTGCTGGTGGATCAAGAATTCACAGGAACTCTGTACAAGGTGATGGTTTGCGATTGAGTTTTTTTTTTTTTTTTTTTTTTTTCTTTCAAGGTTTGGCCGAAAACCGGTGCTGTTCGCCACCATCATAATTCAGGCTGTGTTCTCAGTGGCACAGATTGCAGCTCCGTCCTGGGAGGTGTTCTGCTTTCTTCTCTTCTGCAACGGCCTTGGCAATATCTCCAACTACGTGTCCTGCTACGTGCTGGGTATGTTTTCTTTCCAGTGCAACATGAAGATACTTGCACTTCACACAAGCAGAGCTGTTTTGAAGTCAATTCTCTGAGCGACAGAAAGCCAATGACAGAGACCTGAGCTTTTGGCTCCTATGGCAGTATTTTCCAGCACTTGAGCGGCAGTATACTGGAAGTACTGCAGCTCAAAAAAGGAGTCCAGTGGAAGCCAAAGACATGAGGCCCAATATTTTTTTTTCCAAAAGCAGTGATTTAACAACATGTGGTAGAAGCTTTTGTCTGAGCCCATTGAGCTAAGGTGGCCTTGCCTCACCAAGATGACTCAAAAACAGCCATTTTTTATTTTGAGGAAAATGTATTACTTTGTTCATCAAAGGTTGACTTTTTCACTTAAAACTCCCAACATTTTCCCCCCAAAATGCTTGAGGATCCGGACTGCCTGCCACACTCAAGTTGTTTTTGCCGTTGCAGGCACAGAAATCCTCACAGGCAACGCTCGCGTGTTTTACTCTTCGATGGGGGTGTGTCTGGGCTTCGCCTTTGGCTACATGACGTTGCCGCTCTTCGCCTACTTTCTGCGGAGCTGGAAGACGCTGCTACTAGCCATTGGGCTTCCCGGCCTCTTCTACATCCCCATGTGGTGGTAGGCACACAAAAAAAAAAAGATGTCACGGGGACAATATTGACCTGCTTGCTGTCTCGGTTTTTATGAAACTCCAGAGGTGGCAATAGTACCGACACCACGAGGAAAGCCTTTTGAGCATTTACTGATCCCATTGATGTCCATTAGGTCTATCTTGAGTGGATATAAAAAGTCTACACACCCCTGCTCAAATGCCAGATTTGTGTGAATAAAAAAAATGAAACTGGTATTGAACAAACTAGTTATTTATTGTGCTTCCCTCCCCTGAATGCGACAGGATCCTCCCAGAGTCGCCCATGTGGCTGCTGTCTCAAGGCCGAGTGACAGAAGCCGAGGCCATCGTGAGAAAAGCCGCCATCATGAACCGAGTGGTTGCACCGGAGAAGATCTTCAGCAGTGTCAAGTTGCATGCAAGTTAGACTTTTGTGTCACTGTGCTCACTGGACACTTTATTAGCGACATATGCGCCCCACCCCCCCCCTCCCACACTCCCAAATAATAAAACAGCTGAGCATTTGAAAGATGCTAGTGGAAAGCGGGAGCGTTGCCACGAGCCGACCAGCTTAGAGCTAACAGCTACTTTGGCACATCAAGTTAAACGACTGGATAAAGAGCAGCATTGACAAAAAAAAAACTGTGCTAAATCTAAAAATGGTAACATCAAATTGCAGAGTTGCTGGGGGCTATTCAGGCTAACACCCGTTGTACTTTGTAGACGGATGAGGAGAGGCCAGTAAAGTCCTCCGCTGTTTTGGAGCTGGTGAAGAAAAGACGCCTCGCTATTACGCTCATCCTTCTCTGCTGGGTGTGGTGAGTTCACACGTATCAAACGAGTAGGACCATTACAACCCTGTTTTGAGAGCAAACTGGCTTGTCGGCAGGTTCTCGCTGAGCGTCTGCTACTTCGGCCTGTCCCTGAACACGTCGCAGCTGCACTCGGATCCGTACATCAGCTGCTTCCTGTCTGCCGTGGTGGAGGTTCCGGCGTACCTGAGCTGCAGTTTGGCCATACGATACCTGCCGCGGGGCATGGCCGTAC